GATCGAAATGATCATTAGTTGAATTAAAATATTGATACCTGACAATATCTCTATTTATTTATCATTATATATCTGAATTATATATGTATATTGTGTGTGTGTGTACGTGTAATACACGTACGTGTTCATAATAAATGAAAAGTGTAGCTATCGCCAATCGCGTCGTTCCGTTGTTGGCGTGGATATCGCGTATCGCAGCGATCAAAGCCTCGCAGCCGAGAGTCGGTTTGTGCCTCCTGTCCGCTGCTGCCAGCGGCTCGCGCGCGTGCGTGCCTCTGCCTCTCCGCGATCGCTATCTCCCAGCGCCACGAGCCTCCGCCCGCCCTTTGTGGCCGCGTCCGCGCCGTCGATGGCTGTCGCCTTGGGGCGCCGGAGACGCCATTCCAACACGACCTGTGGTGGCTCAGCACATCTGCAGAGCGTCTGGCCGGGAGGTCCTAGGGTTACACAGTGGCACGCGTTTTGGCATTAGCTACGTAGCTATAGTTGTGTCACTCGCAACAAAAAAAATGGTGGACGAACATCGGTGAAGTTCTGGAGGCTTCCCCCACCCTGCGGGAGCTGAGATTTCCCCTCTCGGAGATAAGCTAGCGCGTAGACTACAGGGAGAGGCGACTGCGAGATGTAGCGATCGCGTTGATCGTCACTCGTCATCGCTGACTGCCCTCATCGTTACAAAAGGAACTGCACAGCCAGGAGTGTCCAAAGAAATGACGAATTCATCAATGTGCTGGTCCATTACATTATCTTAGTACTGAAACCGTCCTTCAAGACTCGCCTTGTTTTCTGTCCATCGTTTGGACAACCCTTACTGCCGAAACGTATAAGCTGCCTTTCGTCTGACCCTTCTCACACATCAATTTGTTATCGCCAAACTCGCACTGTTGAATTACCACACGACCCACGAGAGAAAGACTGAGAGAGAGAGAGAAAGAAATAAAGAGAGAAAGAAAGAAAGAGAAAGAGAAAGAGAAAGAAAGAGAGAGAAAGAAAGAGAGAGAAAGAAAGAAAGAGAGAAAGAGAGAAAGAAAGAAATAAAGAGAGAAAGAAAGAAAGAAAGAGTGAAAGAAAGAGGAAGAAAGAAAGAGAAAGAAAGAGAGAAAGAAAGAAAGAGAAAGAAAGAAAGAAAGAGAGAAAGAAAGAAAGAAAGAGAAAGAAAGAAAGAAAGAAAGAGAGAAAGAGAAAGAAAGAAAGAAAGAAAGAAAGAGAAAGAAAGAAAGAATGAGAAAGAAAGAAAGAATGAGAAAGAAAGAATGAGAAAGAAAGAATGAGAAAGAAAGAATGAGAAAGAAAGAAAGAGAGAGAGAGAAAGAAAGAGAAAAAAGAAAAGAGACTGTGAGAGAGGGGGGCATGCGCAGTAAAAGGTTTTTCTGACTGGTAGAGCTATTGGCCTAATTCAGCCGCTGGTTGGTTTCTATGATCAATCCCAGGCGAATGCCGGAGCAGTACTCTCTGACAACCGACCGTGCGCGATCTCTCCTTTTTTATCCTTGTTGTATCATCACCTCTTACTTGCACACACTTACAAGTACATGCACTACCATACCACATATGCCGGGACTTAGATCTTGTCCTTGCTGGGGTGGTTCCCCACTAGTGGAAAATACCTGCTTGGGGAAGAACCCGCAAGCCAACAAGTCGGCGCCGGTTCTCAGCACTCACTCACTGGGAAAAATATCACTGCCACCACCTGCGATAAAATACTTACACTACACTTACAGAACTAATGACCGTAGCCGTTGACACATTCGGAAACATTAATGAATAAATCAAACAAGTGAAGGCTCCTGCAGGCTGTAGCAAGTTTGACAACAAAAAATAGTCACTCTAAAAGTGTATTTAATTTTCTGTAACATCCGTATTTGAATCTTGAAAGTCATAGTCGCATCACAATTTTCGTATATGAAATGCAAAACAGGTATGCGAGAATTATATCCGTTTACGGGTCTGGTGGTTAACATCGAGTTTCTACCTCTGAACTACAGCGCTGAAACCTAGAGAAGGACGCATCATTAACTGCAAGCGGAGCTTTGTTGGACATATATTTCGATTATTTTAGTCAACCAATCAGAGAGAGGATAGCCCACCGCCTCCTTCCCTCCGGCCTTGCCACGGATGCAACGGGATGTGGCAAGGTAGTATGCAAATCTCGCCGTAAAATCTACATGCGAGATGCGCAAGTACAGTGCTTCCTGTGTATTTAAGTAGAGTTATATTCTCTTCTCGACATTCTTAGCATATTCCCTCCCCCCAAGCGTGTTGTCATTAGGAAGTTTTAGCGCTAGGCGTAAAGATACAACCTTAAACTCTATTGATCACGTGACTTCTGACATGATACGGTCGTAATTAACATTCAGAAGAGTTTTTGCAATTGCGACATTGCGTTATGCATTATATCAATAGAAGCAATTCAAGCGTTGAAGAAAGAAGTTGTATAATATACCAAAAAAGTCAAAGCTAGTGGTGAGATATTTAAACCACGATACGAGTCAAGAGTATAAAAATTCTACATATTAAATCGTCTATTCTTGAAAAAGTAAGAAGTATCTAAAAACAGGGTTCTTTTTTAGCATAAAACCTAACCTAACCTATCCCGAAGATGTTTCAAGTTATTTTTCTCAAATTTCTTTCCTGTCACCTCTCCGACATTTCCCGTTAATTCGTGACTGCGTTGGGGAGTTGGTAAGGAATAATCGTAACTGTCTCACATACGAGAATCGGTTTACCAGAGTAGGAAAATGCAACCTGTGTCATTTTGCCGCCTGTAAGGTGACCATAGAGTCTCCCACAGGCGTGCACTATTCATGAAGGTATAAGGTTGCACCTTACGACTAAGGTAAGACTTGACGTCAGGCGTCACGTGACTAATAGTGCATAACGCCGCTACCATAAGCGTGGTGCTTAAATTCACTATTTGTTGTTGTTATTTTAAGGTCGCATCAACTTCAAGGTCATTAGCGACCACTTTTGCTTGTAACGGTATGGTAACTGTGAGGATGACACGATATAATGATGATAGGGGGGTGAAAGGACAAACACAATACAACCATGCCCGAGGCGGGACTCGAACTTCAATTCTTCGGTCCGAGATCGCTATGGCACTACTGCCTTAGCGCTTTCGGACATCCGGACTGGCTCCTAATATTTTGTGAATCACCAACTCTTGAAATCTTGATGCGCCAGTAGTTTCCTCGGAAGGGAGTCCACATTTCATGACGCGATTTTGTTTCTTTGACAGCGTTAGCACATATTCCAAAATACAAGTTCGGAAATGAAGTTCGTAGACTGGAAGGTTCTGGGTTCGAGGTCCCATGGCTTCCAAATTGTCTGAGAAACTGGGCAGGACGGCTGGATGCGTTTGGCTGCTCCTATCGATTGGTTCCTCTGTTTTCAGTAATCAATTCCTATAGTAAATACGTAATAGTTCTGGCAACGCTGATATGGTTGACAAAGTTCGTTATCTGGAAGAAAGGTAAATTTTCACACACACGAGGTACTAGATCATTTGCAGTTTAGTGGTTTTTACCCCTTTATATGTTCAGATATTTTTATCCCTTTATCTTATATTGAGATGATGCCGCGAGCGTACCAGTTCCCAAATCTTTGGCTTACGACTTGTCCTTGACAAAAACGTTATTGTGTGCCGAAGTAGGAGTCATTGATTTGTGTGAAATCCCCCAATGGTGTAGAGATTTTTTAGAGTATGTTCCGTCCAATAAAAAAATATTTTCCGTGTATTTCTCCGTCCCTAGGAATACATGTGATACAGTAATGTGAATTCCATTTCCATGTGCTTTCGCTGTTTATGTGAAGGAGTTCAAATATGTGATCTTCTGAAGCTGACGGCCCCACGTTTTCAAAAACAGATTCGTAAATTCTTAGGATTTTTATATTTTAAGAAATGTAAAAAGTTTTAGGTTATGATGCGGAAAATCATAGCAGAAATGTGAAACAGTTCAAAGGTGAGAGTGTAGTACGTAGTACGCAGATATTTTACAATTGATTACACGTAAATAAAAGTAAAAACGATTAAATAATGAAGATTATGAACAAGAAAGTGTAGATGCCGAAAAAATAGAGAAAATTATGCTGACGATAACAAACACAATGAAGATGAGGAAGGGAAATATGTGAAGAGAGAAGAGACAATGGACATGACAGTAGAGATGACGACGAAGATGGAAAAAACGATAATGAAGGTGCTGAAGGACGATTAGAAACAGATGACGATGGAGGAAACGTCGGAAATAACGACTATGAAGATGAAGGAAGATTAGAAAAACAAGGCGAACGTAGGTTTCCGAGGCGAGGGAAGTGGTGAGTCAGGGGCTCGGAGGGTTCATCGGTGGAGAGACCGTGCCGGGTTCCGGAGGCTCCGCGCGTCACAGTGGCATGCGGCGGCGGTCGACCACTCGACCACCGAACCACTGGACCACCGACACGGCCCCCCGCGGCGCCGCCACCTCCGCGGCACCTGCTCCCGCGCTCCCGACGCGCCGCTCTTTATCGCCGTCGTTTGTCTCCTCCCCTCGCTATCGCCGCCGCCGCCGCCGGGGCCGCCGGCCAGAGCGGTCGTTAATCTTGAGCGTTCGCCGCTGTGAAGTGGGCGCGCCGCCTCCCGTCGAACTCACGCGGCCCCCTCCGCCAGCCACCGGCGGAGGTGCCTCAGGGCGTCAGCCGACGTCACTGCGCTGCCTCTGGCCGGGAGGCCCGTGGGTTCGAGTCCTGACGTGGCACGCTGTGAAGTGGGCGCGCCGCCTCCCGTCGAACTCACGCGGCCCCCTCCGCCAGCCACCGGCTGAGGTGGCTCAGGGCGTCAGCCGACGTCACTGCGCTGCCTCTGGCCGGGAGGTCCCCGGGTTCGAGTCCCGACGGTGGCAGGATGTGCGACACTACCTTCTCAGCTACGTCGAACTCAGTCGCTGTTAGAGGACAATTCTAGCGGCCGGCTGCTCTGATCGGTATTTTTCCGTGATTTCTGCAATCAACGCCGGGCAGTACCAATGCCGGAGCAGTATCCTACCAAACGGGTCACGGACGGCGAGTGATGTCTCCTTTTTCCTTGCTCTGCCCTCATATGCGCACACACTTATTTGCGTACACTTACTCACCTTCATTCACTTTCACATGCACCTCACTTCCATACATGTCGAGAGATTAGAGCTTGTTCCGACTGGTGCGATGTTCCGCTGATGGGATATAACTCGTTGGGGAAACCCCATAAGCGGGTGCGTAATTCAGCACCGGTTCTCGCCATTCAGCGGAGGAAGATTTATGCCATTTCCCGAGAAAAAAATCATTCACTTCACTTACGGACCTAACGACCTTAGCAGAAGGTGCGCCCAAAAACACAAATAATCAATCAAGAGATAGACTACCTACCAGAAGCTCCTGGGCGACAGGGTGCACGTGGCACACTAGCACTGGCCACGCCATCGGGAGCGCAGCAATCACTACCCGAACGTCTTATTTACCTTTACCTAAATTACCTGAATTATTATGTTCCGGGAATATTTCCTATCACAATTTTTTTAAACTCAGAGTATACATGACAACAAATTAGAAAACAATAACTGTAAATCTCTCTTGAATTTCAGTATCATTTTCCCGCCGTCTTTTAAATATGTAAGGCATTCACGTACGTTAACACGTTACGTATAAACATTCATGATGAGGTATAAATCACAAACCTCAGCTCAATCACAACCAAAGACGAACTTCCAAGAGATTCTACGCACACGCTTACCGCCGGCAAGAGATTAAGCAGGACACAGCCATTCCTGATTGAACTTGATCGGGATACAACAAACTCATTCTTCTGGCAGTAGCATGTGGATGTTTAGGAAGGTAGTTGTTGCAACTTTTCTTCTAAACCAGAGGTATTCGCCAGAAATGAGAACGAGTTCGAAGAAATGTATACAATCTTTTTCTTAGAGAACAAATTTAACACTTTAAATATTTCAGTAGGTGTAAATGGCTCCATTCTCCATTGAAGAGTCATTGGTTTACGAATACCAGTCTTATACTTCGCACGAAACAGAATGACGTATAAGATATTCTGAATGCTTTCGACGACTCATGGATTTTCAGATGACTTTTGTTTGTTGGGATGTTTTGCAGTCAAAGCCTCTACTCTACTCCCAAACGGGGTATATCTTAAAACATTCATTATATATAAAGCCACTTCTCGGCCCCTCCGATCTAGGGTCAATACAACATGATGCCCTGAGAGACAACACACACCACACATGGACCATCCACATCTCCTGACTGTACTCCTCTTGTCCATAAACGTTTACAGATTATTTCTCTTCTTGCTCTGACATTGCTTGTCATTAAAAGATTTCCAAATCCTCTAAAAGATTAACCACCCACATCAAAAGTTGGACAACCCACATCTGTACGAATATCGAGGGCAAACCGTCCATTTGGAGCGTGAGATTGAACCCCGCGGCGCTCGTAGCACTAGACTTCGGATTTTGCGTATTGCAAGTTTCCCTTAAAGATGAAATGCACAAAGGACACAAATGCATTTCTTATTGTTTGGAATCAAGGTACAAAATCTTATTGGGCTTATTTCCACTTTAAGAGCTTATTTTGACATATTTATGTAAGTTTGATTTTTTTCAAATTATTTTTGGGATTGCTTTTCATGAAGCCTCTACATTTTTAAACTTTTCCCCATAAATGGCTTCAATTTTTCACCTCTGAGCAAAAGACGCGTAAAGAGATCTGTTGCATTATCGTTAGAATCTGTTCAATGCCAATTGCTTTTCTCTCTTCAGATTTTTTTGTCGCACGTGTTAAAGTATGATTTCACAACGATTAGTCTTGCTCCAATACCGCTAAATGTGACAGTAAAAACAGTTCTACGAATCTTGTAAACTTCGTTGTATCATCGTGTGCTTGTTACGAGAGCTGATTGTTGTACGGACAATTTTCGTTTTCGAACCTATAAATCTTTGTTGCCAGTCAACATGACCGAGATTGTTTTGACAGTAGTGCTGTAGCGATCTCGCACCGAAGGATCGCGGGTTCGAGTCCCGCCTTGGGCATGGTTTTATTTGTGTTTGTCCTTTCACCCCCATCATCACCATATCATGGCATCTTCACAGTTACCATACCATTGAATGCAACAATGATCGCTAATGACCTAGATGTTGATGCGACCTTAAATTTAAAAAAAAAATATTTGTAGTGAAAGTGTTTATTGTTCCATTATTGCCGCTCTAACTTCATTAACCTTCCAATAAACCACTGTGATTATTGTGAAATGGCATGGCCCTAGTATGACGAGCCTGAAGTCCCGGAGAACATACATACAATTGATTTGAAAGAATGAATAAACGTCCAAAGAATCACCAATATCACGCAGTAACCTGCACGTGCGACAATAATCTTAAAAGTTATTTTGCAAGATGTTAGTTTTATCGTCCGAACTCTTCGTTAACCTTCAAATTACTCAAGGTAACTGATGTGAAAGAATGAACAAACAGTAAAGAATCGTCGAGCAACAAACACGCAGTCGCGGCACAAGCGTGGACGTACGAACAACCTTCTCGCAAAACCCTACTTCGCGTCGCCCCATCTGTTCGTCGTACGCACTGTTCGTTAAGGCGGCTCCTCACATTCGGCATTCCCCGAATAGCGAGCTACTGCTCGCCCTATCCCGAACTGTTCATGTGTTCGGGGAATGTTCGCTCCCTTTGCTGAGTCCTAAAGGCCGACACGCGGTGGGTAAAGGCGGCTCCACTCATTCGGCATTCGCCGAGTAGCGAGCTACTGCTCGCCTAATTCCGAACAGCTGATGTGTTCGGGGAATGTTCGCTCCCTTTGCTGAGTCCTAAAAGCCGACACGCGGTGGGTAAAGGTGGCTCCAGACATTCGGAATTCCCCGAGCAGCGAGCTATTGCTCGCCCAATTCCGAACAGCTGATGTGTTGGGAGAATGTTTGCTCCCTTTGATGAGTCCTAAAGACCGACACGCGCTGGATAAAGGCGGCTCCACACATTCGGCATTCGCCGAGCAGCGAACTACTGGTCACCCAATCCCAAACAGCGGATGTGTGCTGCGAATGTTCGTTTGACGTGTCCTAAAGACCGACATTCGGTTGATAGGTCGGATACCGAACGGTTCGGCTCTCGGCGAATCGCAAGCAACCGTCCACACTACTCGGGATTCGGCGAGCGGTTGGTGGGGATTCGCGGAATGCCGCATGTGTGGAGCCGCCTTTAGCCGATCGCCCACGGCCCGCCTGGGAGCAGTCGCTTGGCGAGTTTCTGCCGCGAGAGGCTCCCGGGTGCAATTTTCGCCTGCGAGGCCGCCGCGGGCGACGAGGGCGTGTGGAAGAGCGATGCGGTCAAACCTGTTTCCGTATGTGCGCTGAAACAATATTGGCGTACGCGAAATAACCGAGCCACGATAGCACGATGACGTGACGGCAACGACCGAAATATCTAAGGCCTTCCTGAAAAATCACGAAACGACGGAGATGGAAATAGTGGCATGTGGTAGAGGTGTCACCTGGCACAGACTACAAAAGTTTAAAAGTGTGTTTTGAATGTTGATTGCTCGCTGTTCCTGTATATTAAGTTGACAAAATGCTTCAGAACTGAATACTCAAACACATTTTTTTGCTGTGAATGATGTGTTCTTCCTCTATTAAGTAGTAGTATCTCTTAAGGAATCAGCAAATATACAAATACTCCATCGTACGTGTGTATGAGAAGTGCCATACTCGGTCCTCGTTCGTAGTAAGGAGGCTTAGATCTTTATGACTTGGGAAACACCGTCCAGGAGTTTATTAGTCAATTTTATGTGTGTGTCCTATGACACACTAGAACCACCAAGAAACCACAGCAATCAATTTGGTTTTAGATATAAAGTGGCAACGTGTAAAATCTATTGTAACGTCGTGGGTAGGGATCTACCCCACAAAGAAAACAGACTCGAGTGAGCATATACAAGTTTATTTACATTTATTACAGGTATACAAAACCTTACTGTTAAGGCGGTTTGTAAGAGCTACCACTGCAGCCCCCTTCTTTCTACATGCGCGTTGCGACGGCGCTTGCGACAGGCCTGCCAGGCTGCCTCGCAATTTGGCATCTGGTGTGCCCCGGCAGATCCATAATCTGCCTTACAGTGTTCGAGAACACTTCGGCCAGTCCGAGCACATCGAACCACCACGTGCCACTCCGCACCAGCCTGGGCGGACAAATGTTTCGGACTCTCCACGAGGAAACCAGAGATGTTACCCACCCTCGACATAGCGATGCGACATTATATAGGGGCGAGCCACATGACCTCCCACGTCATTTC